AAGAATTAAATTCGCAAAAGGTAAAATAATGAAAGAAGTAAAAGTTATTGTAAACACGGATAAAAATAATTGTTATTTTGAAATACTAAATTATGATATTATTGATATTTTGACCTCATGTATATTTAATCGTAGTTTCAGAAATGGGTGGATCATATTGTTCACATAGTGATATATCTAACAGAGACGGTACATCCAAAGTGAACTTTTCAATTTTCGGGGAGAGAAAAAGACAAACAATACTGGGAACTGTTTGTTTTGACGGTTCATCATTTCACTGTCTTTCATTGTTTTTATCATGTTTGTGGAAAAAGATAATATAATTGAATTGAATTACAAAAGACTGAATTTGTTTGAAGTATGCGATGAAATCGTTCAAAATTAAAGTTTTGTATCCACTACAAATGTCAGATGTTGACATCTTTGTTGCCAAACAGTATGAGTTCAACAGACTGTATATTTTGGTTAAGATCATTAAGAATTATTATATAATAATATAATTCGAGTCATTACAGTTGTAAATTGGATTTTTTTAAAAAAAATATTTTATATGAAAAAATTGTTAATTTTCGTAAAATACAATGAATTTTTATATATATTATGCTCGTTAATTTTTTAAATATATAAACTGTAATTTTACAATAGTTAATAGTTTCTAACAAGGGTAACGAATTTAAATGGGTTCAGCGAACATAAAAAAACACAAGACTTTATGTGCTTGATATTCGTTGTCATGACAAGGAGCCGAGAAAGTGACCAATGTATAAAATTGGTGACATAACCACACTCAAATGATGTCAACAATCTTCTATAAAATGGTATCTTATACATGCTTGAAACACGCAAATTAAGTCTTGCTACCCAATTTACATTTCCAACTATATTGTCTTTGTAGCATACTCTCGCCTTTAAAGTTATTTTAATCAAATGCAGCCTTTTGCGATGGTTATCTGAAAACGTGTATGTTCAGAAAAATAATATTGATCTTGAAATTTATTGGTTTTTGTTTTAATTTATTATCCAGTTTTTTTAATAAACAAAAAAATTTCAATAAACAAAAACATAAAAATATTTTGTTGCATGGCGGTTTTAAATTTATTTTGAATTCATTTCGAATAAAAAAGAAAATGTATCGAAAAAATCGAAGGAAACAACGTTTGGAAAAAGGACAACGTTGTTTGAATGACTCTATGAATTTTACTAAAACTACTTTATTTTTGGCATAAAAACAAAAAAATATACCCCTTTACATTTTAAAATGAATTTTTGGGACAAGTTCCAAATTTTTCCCTGTTCCGTGATAGACCCCAATTAAAATATCCATCACTCAATGAAAATTATTTGAAAAAAAGAATTTCTTGTGGAATTATTAAAATCTACCTATAGACTCTAAGTAAGACTCCAAGTTAAAGTCTAATTTTTAAAGACTCGAGGCATCTAGTCGAAATTAAACTATAAAAAATAATAAAAATATTGTATTTATTAATTACTTGACTCTTGTATTTTAACTAGATTTTAATTTAAAAAAAATTAAAAAACAATGTAATAATTATTTATCCTTGTCTTTTTGTGTTTTACTTGAATTGAATTGTTCTTGGTCTTCAAAAGTAATTGCACTCACCCGATCAACTTCAAGTTGTTTGTTGTTCAGATCTTCACCGGCCTTTCTGACCTGATCTCCCAACTCGGCAATTCTCAATCTCTGACTTATTGTCAAGTCTTCTTCAAATCGGATTGTGTCTTACCAATCTGGGTGTTGAATGTGGATTCTTTCTGTTCAAATTCTACAAGCTTTCTCTCAGCCTCTTCAACCTTTCTGGTTTACTGTTTAGCTTGTTTCTTAGCTTTAGCAGCTGCGTCTTGTGCTTCTTCCTTTTCTGTTTCGCTTTCAATTTAGCAATAGAAGCTCCAGTAGCACCAGCGTCTGCCAATTTAGCTTCTGAATCGGTGACTTTGGCTCTGAGTTTTTGAGTTTCTTTGTCAGCCTCTTGTTTCATTGCTCTCTCCTTCTCAAGTTCCTTCTGTAAATCAGCCTTTTGAGCAGTCAACGAGTTAATCGACTTCTCGGCCTGTTCTTTATATTCACCAAATTCGTTTTCGTTCTCCATCACTTCTCTAAGCTTCTCGGCGAATTACTTTTTCTGTGCTTTAGCCTGTTGAGCAGTGGTTCTTTCAAGATCAAGTTGTTCATTCAATTCAGTCAATTCCTTCTCATAAGTGTTCTTCGACTGTTTATAAGTCTTAGCAGCTTGTTTAAGTGTTGCCTCAATTCAGTCTTCATCTCAGACATATCGTCTTCAAGTTTGTCGCATTCGTCTTGTTTCTCGTTGAGTTCTGTCTTTGTTCTATCATTTTTTTTCAGTAGCGGCCTTGTAATCTTTCATAGTCTTGACCTTCTCTTGTTCAGCCATCTGGACGTTCTTCTCAAATGTTTCAGCTCTGACTGTGATTTCAGCGATATCCTTCTCGTACTTTCCTTTAATCAATTAAGTCTTAGTGTGGTCTTTCTTTTCTTGGTCAAGTTCAGTTCTGACACTCATCAGTTCGTCTTGGTATTTCTATTTCATCGCTTCATTGCCATCTTTGTCATCATTTGCAGTGTCAAATTGCTTCTGTGCCTTGTCAACTTCGGCATTCAAGTCGTTGATCATCTTGTCCATTTCCTCCAAATCCTTCTCATTATTCTTCTTCCAATCAGAGAGTTGATCAACTTGGACAATCAAATCATTCGCCTTTTTAGTCGACTTTTCTTTAGTGTTATTTGCTTCATCTAAGTTGAACTAGACTTCCTGAAATTTGCTCTCAGCAGCCTTTCTCGCAGCATCTGCACTGTCAGCTTTCTGTCTTTCTTCATCGGGTTGGGCTTGAATTTCAGCAATTTGCATTCAACGTGTTCTTCTCTTCTTCTTGAGCAACAGAAGCCGGTGCGTTGACTTGGACTTTAAGTGATGAGACTTGTGCATTGAGTGCTTTGACTTAGTCTTCTTTCTTCTATCAGATTGGTCCGCGGCAGTCTTCTCGGCCTCCGCTTTGTCGTCCAAAGCCATCTTCTTTTGTGCTTCAAGTGCCTTAATATGTGATTCATAATTCTCAATCTTCGAAGCGTCTTCAATTGCTTTTTTATATCCTTCTTAGCAGCATCAAGTTGAGTGTTCTGGTCTTTCAACGCAGCAACTGCCTTTTCCAAATCAACTATTTGGTTGTCTCTCTTGATGACTTCAGTTTGGTCGATATTTGAAGTCCCAACTGGTCTATCTTTAAGGTCTTGCAATTGTTGTTCCAAATCGGCTATTTTATTCTTGTCCTTAGCTGTTCTGTCTCTCAATTCAGTCAACTCGGTGTTGTTTGCTTCTAAGTCTTTTTGTAACTTTTTGATCGAACCATTCAAATTGTTGGTCTCGTCTTCATGTCCTGAAACTAAGTTATTGAGTTGGTCATATTTGTCTTGAAGCTTCTTCTTTTCAGAAGAAAGTTGGTTTTTATCATTCGTCAAGTTCTTCATCTTTTCTTTAATTTCGTCGTTTTCTGTTTTCAAATTCTTTGCCTCCTTTTCTTTCGCAAATTTGTCTTTCTTGACAGTTTCAAGTTCTTCGTTGGCTTCAGCAACTTCTTGTTCTCTTCTTGTAATAACACCAGTAAGTTCGTCGACTTTGGCACTCAATTCCTAAATCTTCTTATTGCTCTCATTAACAGTTCCATTGATTTTCTTCTTATCAGCAGCATCAGTGTCGGCATTCTTCTTAAGATAGTTAAAGTTCTGTTGAAGTTGGTCGAGTTCGGCTTTAGTTCTTCCCAAGTCGTTCTTAGTAATTCTTAACTTCTCATTTGCGGCTTCAACTTTTTACGTTAAGAGCAGCTTTTTCTCTTTCAGCGTCTTTCAATTTGGCATCAACAACTGATTTGGCTTTAGTCAAATTGTCATTGTCAGCATTCAATTGAGTCAGTTGTTTCTCTTGAGCATCTTTCCTTTTATTTGTGTTCTCGGCATCAGCACCAAGCTTGTATTTCTTATCAGCAGTTTAGGCAAGTTGTTCGTTCAAGTTATGAATTTCAACGTCTTTTTGATTTAAATTCGATTTTCAGTCTTCTCCATAACATCTTTACAAAATTGGATTCGAGCTTTGTAGTCGGCCTTCTGTGCTTTCAACATATCAGAGTCTTTCAGACCATCTTCAATTCTCTTAACCAACTCAGCAAGTTTTCTGTTCTTATCTTCTAACTCATTTATCGGAGTTCAAAGATATAATCTTTTTATCATTTGCATTCTTTGCTGAGGTCAAAGCAGCAGTTTTCGTCTTCTCAGCTTGTAACTGTTAATTATACCCATCTCTCTCGTCTGAGACCTTCTTGTTCTGAGCAACTTGTTGGTCGAGTTTCTTCTCAGTATTTCAAGAGCAAATTGAGTCTTTTTCAAATCATTTTTAATATTGGTAAGATAATTTAAACAGCTCCGGTGTTTTTATTCTATGCGTTGACATCAGCAATGGTGTTTTGCAACTTCTTGACTTGTTTCTCCAAATCAGCAATGTTGTCTTCCTTCACGCGTAATTGTGTCTCAAGATATTTTGAATTGTCTTCTTTAGCTTCAAGTTTCTTCTTTAAGTCAGAAATTTCGCCTTCCTTATCTTCAATGTCTTTGTTCAACTCAGTGATGACACTGTCCCTCTGAGCAATAGTCGCTTTGTGCTCAGTAATTTCATCTTGAAGTCTTTGATTATCAGCTTCAAGTTACTTGTACTCAGTGGTTAACTTGCTTAAGTCTTCCTTTCCTCTCTTGATATCACCTTGGAGTTCCTCAATGTGTTCTTGGTCTTCTTGTGACTTCATATCAGCCTTGTCAAGTTTAACATTCCTTCGCACAATATCTTTTTTAAGCTTTTGACTAAAGCTTCCAAGTCGACGTTCTTGATTTTCATCTCAAAAAGTGCCTTCTCGGCGGCTTCTCTCTTTGCAATTTCTTCAGCAAGCTTCTTCTTCAAAATTTCAATTTCTTTGTCCTTGGCTGCGGTTCTTCGTTGACTCATCTCCTTTTGAGTATTGGTTGGACTTTTTGTAACAATCTGAACCAAACCCAATTTCTGAATTGGTACCAAGTGTGAATGGTGTCTTGAATGACAATAATGGCAATCGTTCATTGCGTTTCTGTTCAATAAACTTTCTTTGTGCGATGGCTTTTGCACACATATGAAGACCATCGATTAGTTCAGTGACTCTGTTCTCTCTAATTTCTTCAATTTCAGCAAGAACACCAACCTTGAAGAAAATCTTGGTCTTACCAAATCTGAATTCTTCAGTGTAACTTTTGCCATCCTTCTCACAAAATAGTTTCATGAGATTATTGACAATTGGAATGGCGTCTGAAGTCACTCCACTTGCTGTCATCAAAAACACAGAGACTGGCAAGAAGTGTCCACTTGCAGATTATTTATTGACTCCATCAGTTACTATCATCGACCCAATGTTCGGTGTCTCATTATCAAAGAAAGCTCGAACAGACTGTGGTATCAATGTTTTGGTTCATGTGGTTGATGCTTATGTCCCAGTTATAACAAATGAATACACAGATGGTCTTGCTAAAAGTCAGTCAAATTAGTCTTAGACGACTTGGTCAAGTCATTCAACGGGGTTTTGTTGCAAGAGAGAAGATGCACAATGCAGCTACCATTGATGGTATGGCCGTTTCTTCCACATTCCTTGGGATTATTCACTCAATGGCTCACAAAACAGGAGCCGCTTTCCGTCTTCCATATGGTCGATGTGTTGCAATGTTGTTGAAGTCTGAGACGACGGCTGAGGGGGTTGAAGTTCTTGCAAAGGCAAAAACTTCAACACATATTGTTTTTTGAAAAATAAAGTTTTTGAGATAATTGAAATTCAAAAAATACACTTTCACAACTCTTTATTTATGGTACATTATTATAAATAAACTATTCGTTATAGTTTTATTTTGAAATAATTTCCACCATCTCTGTGTTAAAAAAAACAGTAAAAAAAACGGGAAAAATAGGAATATTTTACTGGAAACA